TGGCTTATCTGGTGTTTTACTCATGTGACTGGAGTGGAGTTATGAGAGTGATGGAAAGGCATGGCCGCAGTTCTCGCTGCATCCTCCCAAGAAGTCACGCCTGTCGGTGTGACTGGTCACTCTCCATCATCTGAGGCAGCGGATGTTTGACAGATATCCTGTCTGAGGAACTGTAACAAATTCTCCCTAGTTGGGTAATTTATGAATGGTGGAGAGTTAGTTCTCGTATTTCTTGAGGGTCTCGGAGGTCAACCAGCATGATCAGCTCTGGTCAGAACCCTTTGGCCCTCCTGTAAATTGTAGATGGCTTACTTGCTGCTCTGTCCTCACGTACCGGGAGAGTTGAATCCCCCTCCCCCCGATACCTGTCTTTGGCCTCTTCTATAAAGACACTGGTTTGGCTTACAAGGACTATCCACTCACGGTCTAATCACCTCCAACTCTTTGATTATCACCTGGATGTTAAGATTTCATCATGGGCATTTGAGCCATACACATGTTTAGATCACAACTCCACTGTACTGGGAAGTTGCCCTTGCACCCTTCTTTCAGTACTGTGCTCCTTGGAAGGAGGGCTCTGGGTGGAGGATGTCTTAACGGGTAGAGATGTGTGTTTCATTTCCTTGATGGAAAGCGTCATTTGATTTTATGACCTGAATCTGTTATTCTAGAACATTGCCTGTCCTGTTTAATGTTGTTATAAAACTTTTGTCTAAGAGATGTGTGTTCCTACTAGTTGTCTTGCTGTTGTCTTCCAATGAAAATTTATCTGTGTTGATTTTTCTTTTTTCTTGCTGGTATGTACAATAAATATATTTGGATTAAATATAAAATAAGGCTACTTAATGAAATAAATAAACTGGAAAAGTTTATTTGTGGGGCTTGATTTCAAGTTAGTTCTACCACTCAATTCCCAAAATGTTATATCCACTTCAGAGAAATTAAACAATTATAGTAGTATTTCTAACATATTTCACATGATTGCTAGTCACACTACTTGTTAAGCCAAAATAATGAATAAAATCTCTGGTTCAATTTGAGGAATTGAAAAAATAATGCAAACATGTTTTTAAAAGTAAAAATAGAAAGCAGACTTATTTTCACACAAATGAATTGTATTCTAACTTTATTGTCCCTTACCTGAACCTAAAACAAAATTTGTGACATATTTTAAGAGAAAAAATTATAGTATATTTAACTTAAAGTTTTCTAGTCCACACTCTTTTTATCTGTTCACATATATTAAAAAATACTTTTATTTAAAATTGGAAACTTTTCAACATCCTATATTTGAATGATCTCAATATTCAGCTCATTTTTCTCATGGAATTTCACGTATTGGGCAGTGTTTTCTTATTGACTGTGTATCTGGTACCCAGAATATGAGCAGTCTCACATTCTGTAGAATTGAGACTACAGAATTCTACAGAATTCTACTGATTCTGTAGAATCAGTTTGAGAAAATGGATTTTTCTTCTGTTGACATTTTGGATTTTTTTTTCACAACAAAAAAGCTTTTTATTTTAGTTTGAATTTTTGTAAGCACACAATTTGCAAATAATAGACATGCACTAAAAAAAAAATGTTTTCCCAATACAGATCCCTATGCTAAGGGGTTTGCCATTTTTCCCTCCCCAACCGCATGTGTTCTACTGTTCCCACCTGTAGGGTAACGCTAGTTTAGTCCAACAACACTCATAGGTCCACCATTCTTCTATTTATGTGTATCCTGACACTATAGATATAGAAAATGTTACAAAGACTAGCATTCTGGTGTCAAGAAATATTTAACAATTTCATTTAAAGTAAAAAAAAAATGGTAAAAATACAAAACCATTTTATAACTAATATTGTTATACTTGCATTCTGTTTTAAAGCTATCTGTTGTTCTTAATGAATTTACACGTTTAAATAACATACTTTTCTGACTGAAACAAACTCAGCTTTTTACCAATAATATATTGCAATCTAAATATACAAGAAAGCATCTATGGCTTGTATTTCTGGCACTGCTGATAAGATGAAAAGGGAACATTGTCTTGCAGTCACAAGTACTAATTCACACTTCTGATATATTAAAAGAAATTGTTACAAGACTTAATGCTTATACAAAACTGATATTACTTATCGTCTCCCCTTTTCTCTCTTATTCTCTCTTCCTCTCTTCTCTTTCTCCACTCCCTTCCTCTCCCGTCCTCTCCTCCTCTCCCTTCCTCTCCCCTCCCCTCCCCTCCCCTCCTCTCCCTCTTCTCCCCTCTCCTCCCCTCTTCTCCCTCTTCTCCCCTCTCCTCCCCTCTTCTCCCCTCTCTCACTGCCCTCCCCTTCTTCTTTTCTCCTCAGCCCCTATCTTCTTCCACTTTCTAATAGTTAACAAACACTGTCATATCGTGGTGGCTTCTACTCAGAAAAGTTTTACTGAAAGCCTGAAATTTTGTTCTACGTGTTGAGATAATTAAGATGAGTGGGGTTTGGGGCCTAGGATCTGGGAATTCTGTATTCTGAATCACATGACAGTTTACAGTCACTCAATAACTTATGTTTCCACAAAACTAGAGATACTGTATTATACATTTATTATACAGAAATCATACTATGAATTATTATAAATTTGTTGAAATTTTTGTAAATAATTCTTGGAATTTCCTGTTGGGACATGAAGATGTTCATTAAATTAAGTCAAAAAACATATAAGATTTTTTTTAAGGTGAATATTCATGGATAAGATTCTGGGCCAGGTAGGCACTACAAGATAGCAAAAGTTATAAACACTTTCTGTCCCTTCAAGACACTCTGTATTAAGTATGAATGTGAAAGAATTTATGAAGAGTTATCTTCTGGGATCAAATCCTAGATATAAGTTTTCTCATTTAATTATTTCTTAAGCAATTTTAACCACCCCTAAAGTCAAAATACATTTGACTGTTTGAATAGGACTTGAAGATTTCAGTCATGGTAGTAACTCCTGTAACTTACAAATGAAATAGATAATGCTATAGTAGAAAAGATATCAAATCGGAGTTATGGAAAAAGCCTCACTTTGAGTCTGACTGGCAGGATTTAACACAGCATTGATAGGCGTCTCCTCAAATGTCTGCTATGGCATGGAAAACGATTTAGCATTTCACAAGACTCGGTTAATAAAGTTTCGGCATTGTTTCACTGTTCTTAAAAAGAGCTGACCTTCATCATGCCTTGTAAACCACACAACAACTTTGGAAAAATGAAGGTTTATTAAGTGATTCAGACAAACTGAAAGTTGAGTTACCAACAGAAATTCGACAGATACAGTGTTTGAATCTATGTTTTCTTGGTCTGGTTCATGACCACTTTCTGTACAATTAATAATCATGAATATTTTTCACAGCAAAATCCAGTCGCCTGGCTTTTCACAGAAGATGTAGCCCTTTGGAGGTTTACTTCCCTTATTCGTACCATCAAGATAATGTACTAAATTCCCTTATTAATTCTTTCCGATTCTGTAGATATTTGAAAAAAGCTGTGCAGTGTAATTGTTAAAAGCACCAGTGCTGCAAATGAAATCTTGAGGTTAGATTCTGACTCCTCCATTGATGGTTGCTCACTGACAATTGTCTCTTAGGGCCAATTGCCAAAACTCTTGATGCTTTATCTTAGTCATTGTTATTAATTAATCGATAGTAATTACTTTAGGCAATCATCATTGTGAGGAACAAATGAATTAAACTATGCAGAGCATCTAGAATGAGATTTAATATAGAGAAAGCATTAGATGAGTAGGTTAACATTTGTTCTGATTAATGTCTTAAAAATGTAGCATCAAGTGCAGTGGGCTTTTATTTATTTGTTTATTTTCAATCTTTCAAGCCACAGAGCGCAGCAATTCATTGGAAACTTCCCATTTTGACTGAGCTCATGGCCCAATCTCATGCCTATCCTTGTACAACTGATGCTATATGCTAGTCATGCTTCAGTGAATAGTCTGTGGTAGACATGGTATTACTTATACCTGGGACAACTGTTTACTTGTCCAGCAGTGTGCATGTTCGTGCCAATATATAATCCACACTAAAGGCATTCCTTGTAACACACTGACCTAATGAATTTGTTTCTCTGCATTTCCAGAACTAATTAGGACCTATGCTAATGTGATGTTGGAGGCAATTGATTCTGACACATATTTTAAAACATTAGTAACTACAGCAAAACATTAATTGTAGAAAATTATTTAGGCATTTATAATCCAGGCATACTGAATGCAGAGCAGAAGTCACTCTGATAGCAGAAGTTATTAAAGAGCTAATTTTAGTACATGATATTTATAAGCGCACTCAAGTGTTTTTAAAGGCTTATTTATTTGAAAAGCCAAGTGACTGGGACAAAGGGAGAGACAGAAAGAGATCTCCTATCTGCCAGTTTACTTCCCAAATGTCCTCAACAGCCAGGGTAGGGCCAGGTCTTAGCCAAGATCCAACAAGTACCTCTAGCTCTACACATGTGGCAATGACCTGCACACCTGCACACTTGCACCCTCACTCACTGGCTCCAGTGCATGATATCAGGAGCAAGACAAGCAGTAGAGCATCCAAAAATCAGATAAACGTTCCAATTTGGGAAGCTGATGTTTAAATTAGCAACTTTAAATTATTCACTGTGCCACACGATGGCCCCACAATCTCAAGTGTTAAAAATTGCTTCAAAGTAAGCCAACCTAAAAGCAAGAGGGAAATAGTGGGAAAATTGCATACAAAAATAAAATGAAAAACTTTTCAAATTGTAGCATTTTGAGCATATTAAAAATATTCCTGCCCAAAATATTATTCAGTAGTTTAAGTTCAAATTGTATTTAATAGGTTTCTGGTTTTTTATACTGTGTTATATAAGAATTATTGTGTATCCTAATTCCTTTTAAGAGTTTTGAAAGGAAGTATAGAAATGACTGAACACTAAACAGTGCTAGAACAGTGCAAAAGATGCTTTCATTCCATTTCTTTGTTCTGTATTCATTCTTTCCTTTTTGCTAGGTGGCATGCATGCAGTGGTTTCATGGAGACCATACAATGCTTGAGATGATTGAGAAAAAGCGTTGCTTGTGCAAGGAAATAAAGGCTAGACAGAAAACGGAAAAGGGCCTTTGCAAACAGGATAGCATGCCTATTCTGCCCAGCTGGAAGAAGAACACGGGTGCAAAGAAATACAGCCCTCCGCCCTATGCTAAGCAACAGACGGTGTTCTGGGATACAGCAATATGAGGGTGCACAGGATCATGGGAGCTTCACGGTCCTTCAAATGAAGAGGGAGGTTGGTTTGGTCATGTGATGTTAATTGTTGCATATCTTCTCTGGAATGCCATGGGAAGCTGGGCCTGATTGTTGCAAGCTCAAGATAGAAAAAAGTCGTCTTTGCAATGAAGGCAAACTTATCTCGGATTATTTTGAATCCAGAAGATATTAAAATGTAAATATTTTACTAGTTTATGGGTAACACCTGAAATGATACACAGTCAACATACATGGATTACAGAAATATCAAGTTTACTACATGATATAATTTCGCTATTAACTGGTTTGTTACCTTTTTTATATGTAATCCCTTGATATCTTTTATGATTATTTTTTGCATTTAAAATCTTGTTTTCCATTTGTCTGCATTTGGTTTCTGTGTAAGAACTCATGGCTTTTTCAATCATGTTTAATCATATCATATATGATCTGGTGCTAGTAATGTAAGAAGTTGAACATCATATTTATCAAAAGCATTTGTTGCTTTTTAAGTTTTTAAATATTTGAAAGGACATTATGTGATATTAACGTGGAAATCTATATTATATTGACACCAACATTTTTGCTACATTGGATTTATAAGAATTCTCTTTTTAGAATTCTTTTGTTTATATTAAGCAATGGCTAGTCAAGATGAAGCGAAAGTTGTTAGGATACATTTGGACTTCCCTAAAGAAATAATCTCACTCAGTCATGATGTGACACCTGTCCTTGCAACATTGATCTGATTGGAGGAGACCAGGGTTCACTGTGACATTAGACGGAATAAGAAAGGAAAAGCTAAGAAGCGTGAATGCTTCCCGAAATGTGAGACCAGTGGTCTTGTTGTCACCACAATCACTGCTTTGAAGTACATTTTCACAGTGGTTCTTCCCCTGAGAAAATAAATTTTTGCCCAGACCAGCTTATCTTACCTTAATGTTTTGCCCACTATATACCAATTTATCTCAAAATCTAAGTCCCTTAATGGATTAGTATTTCTCAATAATTTTTTCAGTTATCACCCTAACTTTTGGATCACAATTGTCCATGCATGATCATCACACCTCTTCTTGCTGATTATGACACCATGACCAAAGAATTATTACCACTTATTTATTTTATTTGTTTGAAGGAAGAAACAGGAAATACAGGGGGTTGGGAATGGGGTGGATTCAATTTTACGTGGCAATGAAATTTAAGTGAAATAAATATATATATCTTTTTAGAGTAACTTCTTAGTTGAATATAAATATTGCCACGGATAAATAAAAAAAATACTATCACATATATTTTGTATATTTAAATTACTATTTATGCTTCCTAAAATTGACAGTACATGGTTCTTCATAAACAATCAATTTAGTATTATATTTCTGAGAGAAAAAGTGTGTGTTTGTAGGAATTGTCATAGTGGGTTTCTTTGTAAGGGTATTGACAGCAACAGTAAAGTGCTGCTCAAGAGAACCAAATATAACAGGAGATAGGGAATTTTCTAATGTATCTTGCTAAACCCAATAATGTTTTAGTAGTTGCAGTTGTTCTGAAATGCTTTTGAAATGTTATAGAATAATTTTTTAATGTTTTATAATCAATGTATATTTTGATGTCCAATTTAAATTCTAACTAAAGAGGAAAAAGGTGAGTGGGAGCCTCCGTGTGTGTGTGTGTGTGTGTGTGTGTGTGTGTGTGTGTGTGTGAGAGTGTGAATGCATACCGAGAGAACAGGTGATGCTTCCTGAAGTTACAGGGCTTGCTGGAGATGATTTGGACAAACAGGAAACCATAGGGAGACATCTAGTAGCTTCGTATTTTTGCTGCTGTGTGTCAACAGCCATACCTGAGGCTATGTTTCCAACCCAACAATCAGCGGAGGACAAATTTAAGAGTGATGCAAATGTGCTTGGATGAAATCAAAATTGAAATACAATGTGCTGTGACCCAGGTTGCTGTCCTTAAGTTGTGACCACATATACCCATGCTGGTCAGTTAGAAGCAAGGCATCAATCCCAGCATTTTTATGCACTAGGTACCTAGAGATTCAGGGTTAGTATGGTAGCTATCATCCCTCTCTTAAAATTTATTTTTAAATGACAGCTTTGTGTGGAAAACTGTGTTTTTCAATTGCTGACCGTTTCCACATGTCTCTGAATTAGGCAGAATACTAATTTTTTTTAATGCTGGCCAATGTCTAGAAGGAAACAAGAATGCTAAATTATTTTGGAATGAGTCTTTCTCATTTGCTCTGCTGGACATACTTCACTGCCAGGTTTTGTGTATTCCTTTTTCAGTTGCATTATTTTTCTGAGAAACTAATTTGTTAAAAAAATTTGTAGACAACGATTTCCATTTATTCTTCCAAAATTTTCCCTTAAAAGGAGTTAATACAAATGTCTGGGAAAGTGGCTCTGTTGAGATTCGTCTCAGAACTTGTTTTTTGGTGCCTATACAATTGTCTGCTGTGACAATACCCATTCAAACGCCAATATCTTCTTCATATAGTGTGCCCCTGCATAGTACTAAAGAGGGCATTGGTATACAGGGGAATAAAGCAAGCTGTATCTCAGAGTTATTGGCTGCGCTATCTCAATACTTGAGTCAGAAGGTAAGCTGCAGCTAGCGCACCATGCAGTGGCGAAGCCTACCTTTCTCCAAGTGTGTAAGAACACAGCGGCTAACAGCATGGTGATTAGATCCAAGGATCTTCACCTGCGAAAAAAAATGGCCTTTTAACAGCAAAGCTTACAGAAACAGATTTTTACTGACTGTCACCAAAATGCTTTTATGTAGAAAACACTTCTTAGCAGAGAAGGAACAAATTTCTCTTGAAATGTTTTTGTTGTTGTTGTTGTTGTTGCTGTTGTTTTGTTTTTCAGTCCAGAAGTTAGTATATTCTTAGGCACAGGGACAGCCCCTGCTGACGTTTCCCCCATAGTCACACTTCCGAAGTACATCTGCCAAGATTAGTGATAGATTTGTTTAAATGAAGGCAAATATTCATGCTTATGAAATAATGGGAAAGTGAAATAAAAAAAAGCATCAAGAATGGAAACTATTAAGAATATGCTCATTTATGTATATGACAAGCATCAGCCAATAGATCTACTTTTCATTATAGTGACAAAATCTTTTTGAATGATTCAGAGAAAATGTTTTTTTTTTTGTACTATGTTTTTTCGTAGGTCTGAATCTTCTGTACACATACAATTTGATTTGATTTACTTGAGGGAATTTAGTGACCATCTTAATAAAAGCAGCCTAATTGGCTTATCATTTTAACAAATTAAATGAGATAAAAAAGGAAAATAACAAACTGCAATTTTCAGTCACTTACATGTTATGATAATTTCCTGAAGTAGAAAAAAATGTGTAAAATGATTTTACTTACATGTAATATGAATATAAGGCTTCTTGTGATTTAAGCAGCAAGTAATGTGAGATGAGATATAGTTTACCCTTTCAAAGAAATGGAAGTAGAATAGAAAATCAATTCACGATTCATTTTGTCCGTAACTTGTAAGGAAATTTCAGGAAAATGGTACCTATTGTATTTAAGATTATCTCATTGCAGTTTCTCTGTTTGGAAATAGAGATAGCTAGTTGTAAAATGTGCACAGCTTGTTATTAACTTGTCATTCATTCATTCAGCCCTTTATGGAGCAACTTACACATTGGTCATCTGTTTAAAACCAAAGTTAAGAATCATTTGGTATTAAATATTGGAAAAAAAAACCCATGATTCCCAAATTCCAGTAGCATAATTATGCCATCATTAATATTTTTAAAAATGAAGCCAGTTGTACAATTTCACACATATTTGATCTCTCTCATATATTTGTGTGTGGTATTGTCTTTTCTGTATCAAGTGTACAGTCAAAATATTAAACACAATAAGTCTAATGTCCAAGTCTAAAATACATTCTTTGTAAGCCTCTATATGTACATATAGGATGTGTAATTCTGTCTGTGTGACAGTGAGAGGATGACACAGGCTATCACGGTAGAGTCAAACATTGTGGCTCGGGGTTTGGATGATTTAAAACCCTTTGGTATTTGGGTTAATTACATCATAGTAATCTGGAAAATGATGACTGACTACACTTCCTTTTAAATATTAAAGAGCTCTATATTAATAGGAAGCAACTCTAAAGATTGGGTTTATCTTGACCAAATATTTATGAATACCCTTTGAAAGTATTCAGTTGTCCCCAAATCTAACTGGGTTTGCCCACCCTAAGAGCATCTCCATTTAAACATGCAAACACCCACATACAGTATACATACTGTATATAGTAAATATGAATATGCTTAGTATGCACCTCCTTCATTTGGAATTCCTTAAGTCTACATTTTTTGTGTAACAATTTGTGTCAAGTGCACTGTGATTATACAAGCAAAGCACAGTCAAGTCATAGGTCTTGTTCTCTTGCACTAAAGTTGTGTTTACGTACTTAGTAATTGTATGTTTACTTTCTTGCTCTTTTAAAACAATTGAAACAAATAGCTATGAGAAAGTGATATAAAATAATATGTTTTTTAGTGGATAATGGCACTACATTTTTAAGAGACAGGGTTTTTAAGAAAACCATTCAACATCCATTCCAATGTAACATGTTTACCATATCTAAAACTTTGAATGTCAGACTGCATTTTTTTCATAATTCATTAGAGATGTCAGGCATGTGCCTGAAGAAACGTGCAAATAGGCATTAGATAACAGATTTCTCTACTTATGTGTTATTAGCTCTTTCTATATCTATATAATTATATAAACACTGATGTTTTAATGTCTCTTAATTTTTGTACCTGATTTTTTTAGGTAACATGTAATAATAAATGTACTTTGATACTACTGAAGTAAACAGATGTTGTTTAAAAACAAATTGATTTCTTTAGTGCATTGGCAACATTTTACAATACTTTTGTGCTTATCTATTTGTGCTCCCGTGTAATTATAATAAAAGCAATAGTTTAAATTGGTTGATTTCGCTGTGACTCATCTTTATTCATCAAAGAACAAATGAATAAGAAAGCTTCGCAAGAGTATTACACAGATTTTTCAGCTTCCACAGTCATCTACGGGCTTGCCCACACACTGGAAGATTGATATTGGTAAGTATTAAATGCCTATTCTTTTTAGTTGTGTGATCTTTTCCTCTCCCACTTTCCCCACCCCACTAGCTGTCCTTCATCATCATGTGGCTTCTGCTTCAAAGTGACCCACTGAAAAACAGGATGGTTGCCATGTGTCTTTCTTATCGCACATACAACTTGGTCAAATGAAAAAAGAATCTATCTGAGGTGAGACTGGGAACCATTGAAAAATAAGCTAGCAATCCTAGAACAGTAACATGCACACACAATATTTATTCAAAAGGTACTTGATTTAGTAATTTTTCAGAAATAATTTATGAACTAACCTGGTTTAAATGGTAAGAGTCAGTTTCTTTGATATTTCTTAAACAACTTTAATGAAATCTTTATTGAGAATCTAAAATATATATGACAAGAATCTGAAACTAGGTGTGCTTATAAACATTCAACTACAGTGACAAAGAAGAAGTTGGTATTCCTCAATGATTCCTTTCATATTCACTTTAAAGGGAATCTGATTCATTCTTACTGT